CCTACTTCTGCAGAAAAGCCAAGTCCATTGTCATTTAAACCAAATGAAGCTGTAAAGTTTTTTAGAGATGGGTGCTCTTAAGGGCTTGAGAATGTGGAATGTTCCATTTGCTCTGTCGGAAAACAGATGTGCAGTAATAAATGAAATTCCTGCTCTTCAATTTCTTTTCTCCAGTCACATTACCGAGCTACTGTTCTTAGACAAAGTTGGGAGGAGAACAGTTGGTACAACTGAGAACAATTTTCCTTTGGGATCAGTGACCTTACCGTTATTACCCTCCCCATGTGTGGTCATGCTTCCTTGCCTCTGGGACGTGGGAAGGAATCGAGCAAAGTGTTTAAGAGTGCGGGTTCTGGAGTCACAGAGAATGGGATTTAAATCTCAGCTGGGACACTTGCCAGCTGGTATGTAACTTCTCTGAGCCCCGGCTTTCTCATCTGGAAAACAGGGATTAAAATAACACCTGCCTTATAGTTGTGAGGATTCAAGGAGTGCAGCACTGAGCATAGAGCCTGATAATGGTAAAGTCAATGGATATTCAATGATCTTAGAACAAGTGGAGCTGAAGTCGAGTTCTGTGTCCTCCAAGTATGCTCTCTGTTCTCTTGGCAAACAGTGATGGCAGCCATCTGTAGCTGCTTAAAACACCGGATCCAGTAAGCAAACCTTGTCTTCCATTGCATCAGGCCACTGTGATGGCTCTTCATGCCTGTGGTTTCAAGTGCATTTTTGGCTAATGGTGGACATAGATACGGAGAGCTCCTTAACATCTAACACATTCATTCATGCATGGATTAGGCTAAAGCCAGGGAAATCATTACTTATGACTCCTATTATGTCATCTTCTTCATGTATTTTTCTCCAACTGGAGTGCCCAGGAAAATATGGCTTACACTTCTTATATCACTTATTCAACAAATGTGCATTAAATATTCTGAAATTCATGGCAATTTGGCACTAAGGAAGAGAGCAGGAACTTAGTTTGGGGGTGGAGGAGAATAAGACACACATGCAGACAATACTGTGTATAAGAATATGTGGCATGATCCCTACAGACAATATACATCAGAAGGGGAGGTGACCCCCACAGCTGTGGCTTGACACACTTGAACCCTCTTCAAACCTTATTTCCTTGACAGAGCCATTAACTTCCTACCTTTTCTCCTTTTTATCCTCTTCCTTTATTCTATTCCAAATCACAGCCTCCATTAACTTTTGGGCTACAGAAAGGAGAAAGGGTCTGTAGATACTGAGTCAACGGTTGGCTTGAGAAGCGTAAGTGGGGAGGTGTTAGCTTGGGGAAGACATGCCTCTTCTCCCCAGGCTCCATCCACCTGGCAAACTCCTACACAGCTTTTAAGGCTTATGGTAAGAACTGTCTCCTCCCTGAGTTTTTCTTTTACTTCCCTAGAGAAACTTTTTTGGGGTAGGGATGGAGAATGTATTTATCACTAATATAATTACTTGAAAACAATAAAAATAATGAATATGCTTTATTTTTCTTGCATATTTCTTCATGATTATGCCTCCCCAATAGCCTTTATGTTTCTCTGTTTTCCTTCTCTTCTCCCCTATCAAGGCCAATCTTTTCCCTTTCCTGGTATAGAATACCTGGGAGAGGGTGGTGAGGAAGGATTGGGGTGTCAAGACTAGAGAGAATAAGAATGTGATTTGTGAGAAGTGATATTCACCATCACAAAGAGTGGGAACATGGCTGGAAGTGGTGGGGGACGAAGATAGGACAGGAGCATTAGTCAGAAGACCCTGTTACCGCACCTGCTGCATATTTCCATCATAGGACTTAGCACTTGTCATTCTTTGCCCACACGTCTGTCAAGCCGATAGCCTTCAAGCTTGAGGGCAGACAGGTGTTCTGGCCATCTTTGAGACCTTGGGTGTAGTAAATACCACTGGTTTCCCATGGCCACTTCATAAGTTCATTGACTGCAATTCAACTGATCTGTCTGCAGACTCAGTCCAGCTCACAAATAGGGTTGGAAGGATCTGGAGACATCTTGCCTGTCTGGGTTACTCAGAACTCTGAAATAGGGATATTCCTTTAAGTCTGTCACTCTATTTGTCGTACATGCCCTCTCAGCCTTTCCTATCCCTAACGCCATGCTTCACTAAGTGTCTCACTGGAATTAAACTATTTAGGGAAGCTTATTAGGGAAGGCTGGAAAACAATTCAGGTTTGAAGTTAAAGCCTTATACACAGGTGCTTTTCATTCTCCAGCTTCTCTGTGCTGTAGCTTTGCGTGCCCTAAGCTAATGTTGGAGGATGTGAGGTATCAGGGTGCTCTCTTATAAACCTAACCATCTGCACAATTTTGACCTGATGAAATGCTTACCTTACTTACTGTGGTTTTCTATGGGTAGATAAAAGAGAGGCATAGGATCATCAGGCATGTTTGTTACGTCTGGAAGGAAGTCTGGATGACTTCACCTTTATTTGTGGGAGAAAAATAAACCCATGGGAAGATGTATTCCTCCCAACCATTTGCCTATTCCTTCATTTGCTTATTGAGCACCTACTCTGTGAGAGGCACTGTGATAGGTGCTCGAGATGAAATGGTGAAAGATGTCCTATCTGTTCTCAGAGTCCGTAAAGGTCAATTACCTTTCTGATGGCAGTAACAACGTAAACTTTTGCTGTAATGGGCCAGAGAGTAAATATTTTCCTTGTTGTGGGCCATGAGTTCATGTTGTAATGACTCAGTTCTGCCTCTGGAGCACCAAAGAGGTCGTCGTAGATGATTCATGAACAAATGAATGTGGCCGTGCTCCAGTAAGACTTTATTTAAGGTTATGGAAATGTGAATTTCATGTAATCGTCATGTATCATAGAACACTATTATTCTTTTGATTTTTTCAAACCATTTACAAATAAAACAACTCTTCTCACCTTGTGGACTGTACAGAAACAGGTAGGGGCTGGGTTTAGCCCTTGAGTCATAGATTTCCCACCTCTGACCAAGGAGATGATCACTGGTAGTTTAGATCTGTGATTTCTTTTTTTTTTTTTTAATTATTTTTTTTTTTTTAAAGATTTTATTTATTCATTTGACAGAGAGAGAGATCACAATCAGGCAGGGAGGCAGGCAGAGAGAGAGGAGGAAGCAGGCCCTCCACGGAGCAGAGAGCCCGATGCGGGGCTCCATCCAGGACCCTGGGATCATGACCTGAGCCGAAGGCAGAGGCTTTAACCCACTGAGCCACCCAGGCGCCCCAGATCTGTGATTTCTAAGTCAAGCTCCTCTTCAACCAAAGTGGAGTTCTGCTTGTCTCCTGTCCCCAAACCCCAGCTCCAGAGGTCTTTCAACAAAACAAAAATCTTTTTATAAATGTATGGTACAACTGGGGACATCTGGGGACTTGTTTTCCTGCGAGAAAATGAAAATGACTCCAGTGACTATTTGGTCTCTGAAACAGTTTAGATTTTTTTTTTTTTCCCTTTTTTTCCCCTTTCCCTATCTCCATACTAGAAATTAACATAAAAATTCTTTCTGGCTAAATTCCCAATACATTTTCACAGTGAGCGTTTTCTGAAGTGAAAATTAGTAGCTTCCTTGCAGTTTTCATCAGGGATGTGAAATTGTGCAGCTCACATGGGTGGAGAACTCAAACCCCATTTATGAATTAATACATGCTGCTGAGAGTACCTTGCTATCTGCCGAGTGCCAGGGATTCTTTTCTACAAAATCCTGAGCATCTACATAGTGTATTTTAATTTCCTTTCTCATTCCTCCAGTGAGCGAATACCATTTTCTATTTGCACAAATGAATTAATATGTAACAACTAGTACCTGTATAAGATTATCTTATTTACACCATCCTTAGGGGTTGAGAGCACTTGGGCAAATTATAATGTCTTTCTCTAGTACCCCCTCCCTCCTGGCCAATTTTTATCCAGGTGAAATGTAGCAACAGGGAGCATGAAGGACACCATCCAACGGGAGCCACAGGCAGTGGGAGTAGACATCTGTGGGGGCAGATCTGGCTCAAGTCCCAGTTGTGGCTGCACAGTGATTAGGGACCTATAGAAATTCCTTGTTGAAGCATAAGATGACTTTCACATCTCCTATCTTTTTTCTTGGACAACCTCTGCCTTTCTCTTTCTCTAACCTTGGTTCCCCAAAACAGCCTTGAGTCCTCAGTCTCAGGATCTTGGCTGTTGAACTAGAACTCTATGTTCCCCCTGCTGGGATGGCTCTGATCTTTCAGGTCTGAAAGTTCTGATAGTGGAGGAAATTTGACTCCTGTGGCAACTCACAGGAATCATGGGAGAAGGAATGTTGTCATTGTTAAACAAAACAAAACAAAACAAAACAAAACCCACTTATGGGCTTTGGAATCAGACAGATTTGGATTTGAATCCTGTTTTTTTCCACTTAGGAGCTAAAGTAGAGTTCAAGCAAAATAATTAGCTCCTCTGTGTCTTAGTTTGGATAGCTGTGAAGTAGAGGAGAAAACCTTCCTCACAGAGTAGAGAGGAAGATTAAATGAGATAATGAACAGTTAGTAAGTTCCCACTAAATGCTGAGGAATGCACTGAGTAAGCGGTCTATAAAAATACTACCACTCTGACAAGATATTAAAGAAATCTGTTCCCTTCATTTATGCACCAAATGTTTGTTGAATTGCTGTTTGCTTCTGAGAAGACCGAGAAATAAAATCCATGTACCACACAAAACAGAGGAGCTCACATTCAAGTAGAAAAGGCAACCATCTGCCAGTAAGTGTAGTCATGCAGAGTGTGGGTGTAAAACAGAGGTATGTAGAGTGGGGCCCCCGATGTGGGAGACCTCAGTACACCGGGGGACATCCAAGAAGGAGGTGGGCAAGCTAAAGTTGAAAGATGCATAGAAGTTTGTCAAGTGGTCAAAGGAAGAACTATGTTCCATTCACAGATAGTGCGAGATCTGGTTTTGCTAGTTTAGGATAGTAGAGGGGGAGAAAATGGTCACAGTGGGGCTGAGGAGAGATGCAGGGGTCCAGGGATGAGGGACTTTGAATATCATGTGAAGGAAACTGACTCTGACATACCCAGTGGTTCTTTATGTGTGGGAGAGCAGAATGCTGTTAGTGAACTGATGTCCAGTCCCCCTGTAAGTGTGTTTGAGCTAGAGTAGAGATCCATGGAGGGCTCAGTCACCACAGATGTGTCCAACCTGTCCCTTACACACGAGGAACCTCAGGCCAGAGATCAAGTCCTCAAAAAACAACCTGACAAAGCAAAATAGGACTCGGGCTAGTGTCATCTAAGTTCAGTGCTTTAGGCTTCCTCCACACCAAGGACCTGTCATGTAAATCTAGGCTTTTTCACAGAAGGCCTGCCTTCTCTGTGTTGGATTCGAATACCGGCTCCATTCCAGCATCCTTCCCTGAGAAACTGCACCATCCCACCTTCTGGACTTCAGAACTATGGGCACTGCCTGCTGGGAGTGGGGACCTCAGTGGGAGCAAGGATGGCGATTTTTCCAAAGAGGAAATGAAGTTATTGCCATGCTTTCGAGATCTGAATCAAAATCAAAACCCAAAACAGATTGAGAAAGACCTCTTTCTTTCCTTTGAACTTGGAATCCAGGGACTGTTTTACAACTAGAAACCCATGCATCACAGTGGCAGCTCTGGACTTTGATTACCTAACCCAGACCTTGCTTCCTCAGGGCCTAGCAGGAAGCACACCAGCCTAAATAGGTGTGCGTGAGTGTGGGTGCGTGAGTGTGTGTGTGTGTGTGTGTGTGTGTGTTTCAGATTACAGGTGCCTGGGAAACGCGCGCCCAGGGCAACTGAGCAGGGGCCTGAGTTTCCTCCCACATTAGGACCCAGAAAAAGGGGCTGGAAGCTGAGCTTCACTTCCAGCTTCCCCAGGCTCGGTTCCAGCAGCGCTTGGGGCTCTCCAGAACCTCCGCGCTCGCCTTCCCTCCTCCCTTAGCAACCGCGAGGCTGTGGATACCGCCAGCGGGTGGGGGCCCGGGAGGCTACCGGGCAGCTCTGGGGCGGCGGCGGCCCAGCTCAGGTGCTCGGAGCTCGGGCGGCCGCAGTGCGGAGTCACCCGGCGAGCGCAAGTGTCGCTGCGCCAGCGAGCACGGGGCCCCGCGCACCCAACCTCCGCACCTGCCGCGGGGTCCAAAAGGGATCCTGCAAAAATGAGCCATTCTCACCCGGCTGGGTAAGTGACAACTGGAGCTTTTCCACCCCGCGGCAGGTGGCGGCTTCAGCCAGCGGCCCCTCCTCCTCCCTCCTGCAGCGGAGAAAGGGGCTAGAGGGGAAGCGAGAGGGAGGGCTGGGGAAGAAGAAACAAATAATAGGAATTCTGGGTTGCACTGAAGATGGCAGAAATCCCAGGCTTCCCATCTCCTCCCTCCCTTTCCTCGCTTCTTTCACCGACGTTCGCCTCTTTGAAATTTTCACCCTGGAAGGATTAAAAAATGGATGTGAAAAACGCATACATTAAGCAGGGACGTTATCTGGGATCAAAAAGATCCTGTGGTGTGGGACATGTGCGTTTGAATGCAAAAGTAGAGGTCACCAAAATATGCATTCGTTTGGAGATTTGGGACTGAGAGAGAAATTTTCACTGTGGCCTCTTGCAGAGAAATGAGGTGTGAGTTGATTTAATGTCGAGGGAGGTTTTACTGTGAAGGGGGCCCCTTATTTCAGTGTCATGGGGGAATCTTTGAAAGTATTTTGACCAGGGAAGGTGGTGTGATACTGGAGAGGAAGGAGAGAAGGAAGGAATTGTGCCCTCCTATGTTTACACATGATCTCCTGTTGCTTTGGGCAGGGTGACTCCTCTGAAGATGTATTTGGCAATTATTCAATCTATTCTAGAAAGTTAACACAGTCATTACTGGATGTTGTTTAAAAAAAAAAAAGTCTCTGTCCTTTTGTTGGAAGGGAGAATATCCAATTTCCTCCCGAATTAAACAATGTAATGCATATTAGATGGTTTTTTATTATGATACATCTAGTAAGCAGATAATATCCTAGTTGATCTTGCAACTAATTTGAAAATGTTTTCCTTTTTAATTGGATTTATTGCACATTTTCAAGAGCAGCAAATTAGTAGAGGACAACATATTTAAGATCATTTGGGGTTTGTGATGTCTAAAATGCCACATTAGTCGTTGTGTTTAGGATTGATAGTCAAACTTAAAGATTTTTATTTTTTAATGAATTCTCTGAGTGTAATGACATAAACAAAATGTTTGAAAAACTGGAGGTATACAAGGTGCCATGTTGGAAGTCAGTTTCAGAACTCTTTTGGAAAGCAGTGTAGCTACGACTAAACAAGCTTCTTCTCATTTTATCTCAAATTGAATTTAGTTTAGGTTCTTTCCACTTTGAGGCTGAACTCCTATGCAATTTTAGTTAGCCGTGGGTCATGTGGGATGTAAATGGCACTATTTTTCTGCAGCTGCTGTTTGCAGTATGTCCACATATGGGAAAATGAATGTGTCAGTCATGGTTGTCTTCCTATGTTTTTCAAGTTTTTGGCTAAGTTAGAATCTTATTAGACCATTTAATCATCCATTTTAAAATGTGGAAAAACCTGTAGCTGCTTATTAAATTGTGCATGATTAAGATTTCAGAAACTGAAGTGAAATTTTTCTGAAGCTCCATTAGTTCCAAGCACATTGGAAAAAAGGAAAATTTATCATCTAGGGAAAGAGTATGCTTCATGGTACTCTTCAAGAAAGATACTAAGATGGCAACACTAATTTTGCACTAAAATTATAAACTCCTGGAGAGTAGGCACCATGTCTTATTAATCTTTGTGCCCCCTTCACCTAGGACAATGTTCTGCATAAAGTAAAGCTCGGTTAATGTTTGTTGAATGAATGGTGTGTTCTGACACTGCCTTCAGCCTAGAGGTGGATGTATTCACAAAGGAAAAGCGTATTAGAGCTGAACATTTATACCATAAGCTGAACAAGTGTTTACCATGTGCCATGCTATAGAATAATGTTTTACATGAAATACCTCATTTAATTTCCCCACCCATTTCATGAGGCAGATTCTAGTCACCCTCATTCTCACAGGGAAGGGAACTGAGGTCTGAAAATTTTGAAAGGTCTCACAGGTAGGCAGGTGTCAGGGCTGGAAAGCAAAACCAGGCCATCCAGTTTCATTGCCTGTGCACTGAACAATTACACAACATTGCATCTCATGGCCAGTAGCTGAGATGTGTTGGAGCCCTAGATGCATAGAAATTCCTATCCAGATCAGACCAACATCTGACAAGTGATTCCTGTACATAACTATCTGGCATTTTGATATATAATTAGAAAATTATTTTGTAATAGTGGGTATATGTGTATTTTTTTGTTTTTAGTTCATCAAAAGTAAATGAAAACAATAAACATAAGAATAACAAAATCTAAATGCCTTAAAATTCATCCACGAACAAAATTATTCAAATTGCTGAAGTTTTTTGTCAATATAAGTAGTGATTCTTTTTCTTGACTATGCCACCATTTGGAAATAATAAAAGTTTCAGTAGCAAATAAAAGGTTTCATTAAAGCTGAGAAAGCTTTTCCATCATTGCTGAAGCAGTTTGTACTTATTACATTTTAAGAATAAATGGTAATGAAGTGCAGTGGTACAATAAAACAGAAATTTCAAATCCCTAAAATTCCACCAATCAGTAAGTGACGCCCTGATGATTTCTCTTGGTGCTTCCTTTGAGTGCCACTGCTTACTTAATTACAGCTTGAAACACTTGATGTAAAAATTGTAAAGGGCCTGTGCTGACTTGGTTCAGAAAGAGTTTGGAGTAAACAAAAGTGGTCTTAAAAACTTCTGCCAAAGATTATAATAGAGACTTTGAATCTGAGCTGCATTGTAATTTGGGGGAAGTCAACTATAAAACACCGCTCCTGGCACTGCCATCTCTAATGCAGTTGTTTCAGAGTGGAAAATTTCAGCTCATAGTCCCTCTAGTTCGCTAAATCTCACCCTGGGTTGCTATTGGTGTGTGTGTGCGTGTGTTTGTGGGTTGCGCACTAGTCCTGGAGGTGGAATGGGGATTTTATACCCCTCAGTCATGCATGAGGATAAAATGATACGGCAATTCTAACTCCTTCAAAGGATCGTCACTGAATCCACGTGAAGTTGATTCCCTGTGTGAAAGATAAGCTTGGCTCTAAGTAGAGATAGTCACACTTGTCTGTAAATTTGCTTTGAGGAATTGGAAGAATGGGGAGCATTATGGTTTATGACAAGATAAAAATGCAGAAGATGTATGCTTGGAAAGATTGCTCCAAGGTTTGGACACACTATTTTTTTTTATTTAGACTTATTAATGTATATCTTTTTAATGTAAACAAGTGTTTCTGTCCTGATGGAGTACAGATCTGCTTCCACTTATGACGGGGTTATGATCCAATAAACCCCTTGTAATATAAGTCCAAAACGCACTTAATTCACCAAACCTGCTGAATATCATAGCTTAGCCTTGCCTACCTTCAATGTACTCAGAGCACTTACATTAGCCTATATATTGGGGCAAAATCATCTCACACGAAGCCTATTGTATAATAAAGTGGTAAAAAGCTCATGCAATCTATTGAATGCTCTACTGAAGGTGAAAAACAGAATGGCTATCCGGGTACATACGGAATGGTTTAAGGGTATCAGTTGTGTATCCTTGTGACTGTATGGCTGACTGGGAGCTGCCACTGCCCAGCACCACCAGAGTGCATCATACCACATATCACAGGCCTAGGAAAAGATCAGAATTCAGAATGGTTTCTCCTGGGTGCTTATTGCTTTTGTACAGTTGTACTCAAAAAATTATAAGCCAAACCATTGTAAGTTGGGAACCATTGTATACGGAAGTATGGTATAGAAAGAATTAACACATCCCTAGTACTCGCTGGTAACTCACTCCTTCTTCATCAAAGACAGGGTGAAAACTGTTGGGAATGAAATTGTCAATTTTTAGGTAGTGGATATATATATCCAAAAGTGACAAAAAATCATAAGCCCACCATGTCATTTGCAATTGGAATGCCCATTGTAGTTTGTCTCTGCCTTTTTTTTGTTTGGTTAGTTCAACAGGGTACTTTTAAAAATTGTGATATAATTAACATATAACATAGTTTCAGGTGTATGATATAATAATTCAATATTTGTATGTCCCACAAAATGACCAACACAAATACTTATATGATTTCACTTCTATGTGAAGTCTAAAATAGCAACAACAAATGAACTAATAGATACAGAGACGGGGGAGGGGTGGAGGGAGGGTGGTGGTGATATGAGTGACGGGAGTCAAAAGGTACAATCTTCCAGTCGATAAATCATTACAGCTAATAATACTCTTTTTTTTTTTAATTTGAAAGTTGCTAAAAGAGTAGATCTTAAACATTCTTATACACACACACAATTTGTACCTATGTGTGGTGATGAATGCTGACTAGATTTAAAATTGTGGCGTCTCTGCCTTCTTACCAAAGTGTACTGCTTTGTATGGCTGTAGCAACTTTCTAGTCTCTTCGTTGCTCACCACTCACTCCTACTACCAAAATTATCTCTGTCACACAGGAAATCAGACTTGAAGTCATTAAATATTTGAATTCAAATTGGGTGGTTTCTACTCACCCTCTTGTTACATATTAACCATTTAACTTCAGAAATAAATTGTTTCTGATTAAAAGAGGTGAATTGAGTGTGTTCATTTGTGTTCATTTGTCTTGACTTCTCTGATCATCTGTTAGAGTCTGCTCTTTTTGTTATAGATGGGATGTCTTCTCTTACCCCTTTGCTTAACAAACCTGTGCACATACATAGGTGGAATTGGAAAGGGATTTGTTTGTACATCACTCAGTTCTTTGAATTCCTTCAGAGTTATAGGCCAAAAATCACATAGTGATCTATCGCCAAAAAGTGTTTTCAGGGATCTTTCAATGAGATCCTTCAATTGTGTTGAAAGCAAAGGGTTGGACTTTACTTGCGATCGTATGTGTTGCCCAGTCATGAAGACACTTGTGTTAACATCTGTGCAATTTAGGTTGCCCCTTTTATTTTCCAGGTATCCTCCTAAATTCAGTGCACCATGATAAAACACCGGGTGGTGAGAGGTGTGCCCTTCTTTTGTAAAAATAGGAAGATGATTATAAAAGGGAAGGGGGCTATGGATCATTATGATGTGGAAGAGCATT